GGGGGGGGGGGGGGGGTGAACCCTTACAAGGCGAATGGTTAAGAACATTTTTTAAAGGTGCAAGAATATCCAGTATGGTATCTTGCAAAACTTTCTAGATAATTACTGTCCACTTATCTTAGCATCATACACCATATTGTTTAAGACTACAATTCTAAGGCACATTTTAGTTTCATCATTCGTATATGGATAATGATGTTTTTATTCGCAGACACTACTACAACAAAGTATTGTTAATATGGCTTTCTTTTTTGAACTTCTGGGAAGTAATGACCTCACCCAGGATATATTTAATATCTTTGCCAACCATTTGGACGCCATAGACGAGTCAACTGTTGAATATGTCCACTCAGTTATCAGGAGACACATCTGACTCAGCAACTGACGAGCAACTAAAAGAAACAATTAAAGCTGCATTTGGCACAAGCATGCGTCAATATAATTTTGCAGAAGTATTTACACCGCCTAAGAACTATGTTTTTAGTAGAGTTAAATTGCAGTATATCCACTCACAAGTTGCAGATGTTCTTGTTGATATCTTTACCAGGATATCTGATAATGCTGATGAGACAATCCATCTACCCAGAAAGAAGAGTCAGCGCAAAGATTGTAAGAAGTACATCATGCCATCTCCCTTTCGTGAAACAGTGGTGAAGAGTTATTTTCTTCCTCTTGGCTTTCAGTGCAACCGGAAACCTGATGTCCAAAGCAGATGTGATGCTTCCAATTGTGCCTTAACTGGAGAAGAACCATGGCAGATATTCGAAGGCTGCTAGCATTCATTTCACAATAAGTGCTTAGCGAGTTGTCAACACTGTTCTATCTGCCAGGATCACCTCAAGAATGTAGTTGAAGGTCTCTCCACCTCAGCAAATGCAAACTACTTGAGAGTCTTGATGATAATGACGAGTCACGTGAAGAAAACATAAATAGTGCAGGTGATGATGATGATGATGATGATGACACTATTGACGATATCGAAGTAATGCGAGAGACCAAATACGAAGTTGTTGTGAGTCATCTTAATGAACAAGTCATTAAACGAAGTCCACAACTTCCATCTAAAACTGAAATAGTGCAAGAAGCACCTGTATAAAGATTAGAAAGAGACCTTATTGCTCGAAGTGTTACCATCTAAGACTAGGTCATAGTAAAATAAATTCAACTCAAACAAAATGTCCTCAATGCCCTGATCAGTTATGCTCTGATTTGCCATCCTTAATACCATGTACTTGTGCCTGGCATGTTTCGAATAGCATTACAAATTTGTAAAATGTACAAGAATATGTAATACTAAAAAAAATCTATTCAATTAAGGTATAAAAATGAAAATATACTACTAGAAAATACTGTCAGAGAATTACATTAAATCATCACTCATAAAATTCCAAACAAGAATGAGTGTAAGTTCTTTGAATGTTTGAAAGGCGATAAAATATAATTGTTTTTGCTTGTGGAAACACCACGTAAATTTATTACTGCAAAGCTTTCGATCCGTAAGCCCGGATCTTCATCAGTGCTAATAATATGTGACTTGTTTAATTCACACGCTCTTTTATATACAAGAGTGTCGTGATCTGTTGGCTCGCGTCATTTGAAATTTACTTAAACGGCACATCAACCACGTCATTTTAAACGTAGTGAAGTGATTCCAATTAACGCGCGCGCATACAAGACAAGAGAAATTAATTTTGTACATTAAAGAGAGCACGCCACGTACTATCTAGTGGCTTTCCCTCCTGATCTATAGTATTGTGCTTCTCGATTTCAATTGACTCTCTCATTTTGCGAGAGAACTTATGACTATCAATCGCCAAAATAGTTGCTTCGTCCCATTTTCTACGATGGTCGTAAGTCCAAGTATGTTTAGCCACAGCAGATTTATCTTGCTAAGCTTTCTCGCAATTCGTCTTGTGTTCCTTAAGACATACTGAGAGATTTCGACCAGTTTCACCAATGTAAACCAGACCACAGTCACAAGAAATGCGGTACACACCAGGTTTCTGAGATTCATTTACGTTGTCCTTATGTGTGCAAAGAGCTCGAAACAATTTGTTTTCACTGGAATGGCATACCTTTATACCTGCTTCATTCCTCAAAATTCTTTCGATTTTGTATGAAGCCGGGCCAATGTATGGTAGACAAACAGACGACTGATATTCAATCTTTTGCTGTATACTTTGTGGCGTTTTCATAGCACTATCTATGAAATGCCGTGGGTAACCATTCATTTTTAGAACATTTCTTAAATGTTCTAATTCATCGTCAATGTTACTTACCTCACAAATTGTTTTCGCTCGGTTGATGAGTCTCTTACACACAGAGTTTTTAATACTCGGATGATGAAACGAATTATAATGCAGATACCTGTCTGTATGTGTTGGTTTCCTATAAACCTTATGTTCTCGCGACACATCATCATGTATAGTGAAAAGAACATCTAAGAATGGCATAGTTTTATCATCCTTCTGTACTTCAAAAGTAAACTTGATCGATGGATGCAAACTATTAATGTGGTCTAGAAACTTTTGTAAATTATCTAGTCCATGAGACCAGCTACTCAATGTATAATCCAAGTATCTGAACCAGAAACCTGGTTTCAACTTTGCAGTAGCTAAGGCCTTCTTTTCAAATTCTAAAATATGTATTGACTTATCTGCTCTTAAGTTTTTCAATGCATCCTTCTTATTCGTGCAACGCTTCCAGCTTCGAATTTAACCAAGAATAAGAAGGATTCATTGAAAAGCTTAAGAGCAGATAAGTCAATACATATTTTAAAGGCTGATAAGGGTAACGCTACGGTTATTTTAGATCGTCTAGAATATGATAATAAAATCCGGGCTCTTTAAACACTTCAACTTATAAAGAGCTTAAGAGAGACCCTACAGCTAACATTGAACGTAAAATATGTTCCAAACTATCTGGTTTTAAAAAGGCAGGTATTTTGTCTCAAACACTTCATAATTGTTTGAGACCTTCAGCTACTGTTTGTCCAAAATTTTATGGTTTACCTAAGATACATAAACATAATGTCCCACCAAGACCTATTGTAGCGTCCATAGGTTCGCCAACGTATGCCCTGGCTAAATATCTAAATAGCTGAGATATTGAAACCAGTTGTTGGAAAAACAGATCATCATGTAGTAAATTCTAAAGAATTTGTAACAAAAATGGAACAAATTATAGATTGGATAAGAATGACATTCTGGTAAGTTTTGACGTAGTTAGCTTGTTCACTAATGTTCCAGTTGAAGAGGCTTGTAATATCGCGAAAGAAAGACTTCTTTCAGATATTACATTATCTCAAAGAACTGATCTTTCTCCTGAGAATGTTCATGATTTGTTGAAACTATGTTTGACCACGACATGTTTTCAATGGCGGGAGAAATTCTATGAACAAACAAACGGCGCTCCAATGGGAAGTCCATTGTCCCCTGTTATCGCTAACTTGTTCATGGAGGAATTTGAAAAGAAGGCCTTAGCTACTGCAAAGTTGAAACCAGGTTTCTGGTTCAGATACGTGGATGATACATTGAGTAGCTGGTCTCATGGACTAGATAATTTACAAAAGTTTCTAGACCACATTAATAGTTTGCATCCATCGATCAAGTTTACTTTTGAAGTACAGAAGGATGATAAAACTATGCCATTCTTAGATGTTCTTTTCACTATACATAATGATGGGTCGCTAGGACATAAGGTTTATAGGAAACCAACACATACAAACAGGTATCTGCATTATAATTCATTTCATCATCCTAGTATTAAAAACTCTGTGTGTAAGACACTCATCAACCGAGCGAAAACAATTTGTGAGGTAAGTAACGTTGACGATGAATTAGAACATTTAAGAAATGTTCTAAAAATGAATGGTTACCCACGGCATTTCATAGATAATGCTATGAAAACGCCACAAAGTATACAGCAGAAGATTGAATATCAGTCGTCTGTTTGTCTACCATACATTGGTCCGGCTTCACACAAAATCGAAAGAATTTTGACGAATGAAGCAGGTATAAAGGTATACCATTCCAGTGAAAACAAATTGTTTCGAGCTCTTTGCACACATAAGGACAACGTAAATGAATCTCAGAAACCTGGTGTGTACCGCATTCCTTGTGAATGTGGCCATGGTCTGGTTTACATTGGTGAAACTGGTCGAAATCTCTTAGTACGTCTTAAGGAACACAAGACGAATTGTGAGAAAGCCGAGCAAGATAAATCTGCTGTGGCTAAACATATTTGGACTTACGACCATCGTATAAAATGGGACGAAGCAACCATTTTGGCGATTGATAGTCATAAGTTCTCTCGCAAAATGAGAGAGTCAATTGAAATCGAGAAGCACAATACTATAGATCAGGAGGGAAAGCCACTAGATAGTAGGTGTCGTGCTCTCTTTAATGTACAAAATTAATTTCTCTTGTCTTGTATGCGCGCGCGTTAATTGGAATCACTTCACTACGTTTGAAATGACGTGGTTGATGTGCCGTTTAAGTAAATTTCAAATGACGCGAGCCAACAGATCACGACACTCTTGTATATAAAAGAGCGTGTGAATTAAACAAGTCGCATATTATTAGCACTGATGAAGATCCGGGCTTACGGATCAAAAGCTTTGCAGTAATAAATTTACGTGGTGTTTCCACAAACAAAAACAATTAAAAATGAGTGTGTATTTTGAATAAATTAGATTTGTTAAGAATTTCTTGAAAAATAGTTGCTCAAGACACAGCGTTTACCTAGTGTTTATTTGGTTTGTTGTTGGTCAACAAGTTAGCTTCAATATTGCATTCACTTGGACATTATTTAGGCAGTTTAAAAATACCAGTTGAAAAAAGTTTAATAGTTTGCATGTAGAAATAATTAGCCATGACTGCAAACTGAAGTATAAAGGAAAACAGTAGGGATTCATTTCAGTGCCGTAGCCAGAACGATAATTGGGGGGGGGGGGCACATATTCATATATTTGTGCTTTATTAATTTCTTTTGAAATCAATTGTTTTTATGGTATGTGAACATGAATATATGAATATGTGCCCCCCCCCCAATTATCATTCTGACTACGGCACTGATTTATTTATACTTTCCAAACCAATGATGCTACAAGGATCCTTAAACTGTCAATGTTTGTTTAAGCTACGTTTTCACGCTGCGATTAATCGTGTACAATTTGTTTTCTGGCGTATGTCATTGCATAGACACCCGTAAGCTGGCTGCATTTGACAATTGTTTTTAAAGGGGCAGTATAATCAAAATTTTTATTCTCTTAAACCTTAAGCTTAAGCTTAAACGAAAATGTTCGTAAAACTGTATAATAACTTGTTTTGAAGATTTTTGTTCTAATGCTTAGTTCTTGAGATATTTCTTTTGTTTGTAACCATGTGACGTCATCTACTCAATTACATATATAATGAGATATCAATAATTGTTGTGTATCTTTGCTATTTTTGGTCGATTTGTTAACAACCACGGTATGCTTAATGATGCAGGCTAAATTAACAAACGCGCCGCATCTTTCGAAATATTTTGATAAAATTAAAATAGTAAAGATACACAACAACTACTGATATCTGATTAACAGAATGCTTGGGTTTCTGCGCCGCAATTGTTTCCACCTCACTGACGTGGATGCTCGCCGCCTTCTGTATTTGTGTCTGATCCCCTCTCACTTATTGTTCGGCTGCGAAGTCTGGGCTCTTCAAGGTGCGTCTGATGATCTGCTTCATCTCGAAGGAATTCAACGCCGAGCAAGAAAGTTTATTCTTCAGGACTATGAATTGTCAGACGTTGGTCGCTTGAAAAAACTAAATCTAATCCCCCTTTCATACTGGCATGAAATTAAAGATATTACATTCCTCTACAAATGTAAATACGGGATGTACGAAATTGACATTAATCAGTATAACCCAATTGCAACCTCTTCACCACTCCACTCGTTCCAGTTCTGGTGATCTTCGTCAAAACCTGTGCAAAACCTCCCACTTCCGAAACTCATACTCTAACAGAATTGTATTTTTATGGAACAATTTACCGTCTGATATCAAATCATCTTCGTCATTCGCCATACTTATACTTCGTCAGTCGCATGCCTGG